CTGATGACCTAAAACTCTGTAAAGTAATACAATGTGAGCAAGATATTACTTTGCTGCAGAGGGATTTAGATAGACTGGGGGACTGGGCACTCAAATGGCAGATGAAATTTAATGTTGAAAAATGCAAAGTTATGCACTTCGGCGTAAAGAATACACAAGCAACGTATACCCTTAATGGAAGCGAATTAGGGATAACAACACACGAAAAGGACTTGGGAATTGTTATAGACAACAAACAATGCAACAATGTGCAATGTCAATCAGCAGTGGCTAAGGCCAGTAAGGTATTGTCATGCACAAAAAAGGGCATTCATTCCCGGGATGAACATATAATTTTGCCTCTTTATAAATCACTGGTAAGACCACATATTGAATATGCTGTGCAATTTTGGGCACCTGTTCTAAATGATATTATGGCACTAGAAAAAGTGCAGAATCGGGCTACAAATTTAATAAAAGGAATGGAACATATCAGCTATGAAGAAAGGTTAACAAATTTAAACCTCTTTAGTTTAGAAAAACATCGCCTGAGAGGGGATATGATAACATTATACAAATATATTTGGGGCCAAAACAAACCATTGTGTGGAAATCTATTCACAAACCGGACCTTACATAGGACATGAGATCATGCGTTTAGACTGGAAGAAAGAAGATTTTGTCTAAGGCAAAGAACAGTTTTTTTTAATGTAAAAACAATAAGGATGTGGAATTCTCTGCCTGAAGAAGTGGTTTTATCAGAGTCCATACAGATGTTCAAACAGCAACTAGATGCATACTCGCAAAAACAGAATATTCAAGGATATAATTTTTCAATGTAAGGTAATAACTGCTTGATCCAAGGATAAATCTGACTGCCATTCTGGGGTCAAGAAGGAATTTCTTTTCCTAGTTTGTTGCAAAATTGGAAGTGCTTCAAACTGGGTTTTTTTTTTTTTTGCCTTCTTTTTCAACAGCAAAAAAAAAATGTGAGGAAGGCTGAACTTGATGGACGCAAGTCTCTTTTCAGCTATGTAACTATGTAACCATATGCAGAGACATACATACATACAGGCATACATGCATATAGAGACATACATACATACATACATGCATACAAATACATACATACCTACAGAGACATGCATACAGGCATACAGATATATACAGGCATACATGCATACAGGCATTCAGAGACATACAGAAACAGACAGTTACAACTACATACCTACTGTACAGACAGGTCCCTGGGGTGCATACTGACTGGCTCTGTGGAGTCCTGTCTTGCAGCCCAGACTCAGCACTGGGTGACAGCCTCGCTGTGTGGTACACAGGGAGCAGGGATATGATGTAATTCATATCCCCGTCCCCTCCACACAGCCTGCGGCAGACACCAGGATAGGAGGCTGGGCGGACGGTAGGAGGCTCGGCTCTGCGGGCGGTAAGACCTGGGCTGCGCTCGGCCAAGCTTCAAGAAGTAATCGGCTGGAGAGTAGCGCACTGTGAATCCCTCCTGCCGATCAGCCTGACATTGCGCCCCCAGGGCCAGTGCCGACTTATGGTAGCACTGGTCCTGATCCCAACCAATAAATGATTTCCCTTCTTTTGCCCCAAGAAGATATCTACCCATAAAGCTTTCACATTTTCCTCCTCACACTCCACATGCCTAAGATTTGACTTTAACTCATTGTTGACATACAAAAATACCCCTATCCTATTTTCCTATCATTCCTAAATAACGTGTGCCCATTTAAGTTAACTGCCCAGTCATGTGTCTCATCCCACCGTGTTTCTGTTATGCCTATTATGTCATATTGCTTAGAGTATGCTATTGCCTCTAGTTCCCCCATTTTGGTATTTAGGCTCCTTGCATTAGCAAGCAATACATTTAATATTATCATGAGTAACTTTGTGCACATTTTTATTACTGTTGTATACCTCCCCTGTTCTAGTCTTGCCCCTTCCCAATTTCCACCCCCGGCTTATGCTGAGCTAAGGCCCATCTCCTTTCTGTCCTATCTCCATTTTATAGATTTCTATGACCCTCCCCCTCTACCACTAGTTTAAAATCTCCTCCAACATTCTAGCCATCCTATCCCCCAGCACAGCAGACCCTCTTCCATTTAGGTGCAATCCATCACAGCTATACAGGTTGTAATCAAGCGCAAAATCAGTGCTGTAAAAACGACGTTCGGCAGTTCCGACGTGCCGAAACTGAATGCCATTGATCCGAATTGCTGAAGCAGACAAATTTTTTTACTTACCAGAATTTCCAAACCAAATTTTTTGCCCATGCACATCCCTAATATTTTGTATGGATTTTCTGTACCTGAGAGATAATTGAATTATATGTTTTTCTCACACAATTATCTCTCAGGCACAGAGGATCTTGGGATTGAAACCCCTGTGTTATTGTATTAGAGACCCCATGTAGGGGTCTGTGCATAAAAGCCGTGTGTGACCAGAATAAAATCAGTTGACTCCCAGAACTATGTTTTGTCTTGTTACTGGGGGAATGGATGGCTGTGTATTTTAATGGTTCCAGAGTGGCTGAAGGAATGAATTAGCGGAGGTAACCAGTCGGGTTACCTGTGGTCCGCTACATGCAAGCTATTTTGTTCAGTTTATATCAGAGTAGTATTCAATATGAAGAACAGCAAGTCAGGTACAGATTTGTTCATGTCCTAAGACCAGCAGCAAGGGAATGGATACAAGCCCCATGGAGAAACAGCAATATTTAGGAGAACATAAATAATGGCTTTCATTTCCTGGCAGCCACTAGAGGCATTTGGAAATCTATGGTCTTTACATTCAATGTCATCATGTTTGGTGAACAGCACTGTGATAATGCTTCTCCATGAGAAGTCTCCAATTGGCAGAATGCCAACAGACACATATGGGCTGTATGTCCCCATTGAATCTGTCAGCAAATGCAGATCGCTTGTAGTGACGAGACTGTTATTAGGTGAGTTTATTTGTTTAGGTTTCAAATAGACATGCTCTGAATCTAAATTTTGAACAGAACACACTCATTTTATAAATACACTAATCAGTCACAATATTAAAACCACCTGCCTAATATTGTGTAGGCCTCCCCCCCCATGCAGCCAAAACAACTCTGATGTGGTGAGGCATGGACTCCATGTCCTGTGGTATCTGGCACAGCTTGTGCAGGAGTGTGTGGGAGGTTCCTGAACTCAGTAACCGTGGGCCCGTTATTTTATAAAAGTGCTAATTTCTAATGAAATCTGCACACTTTGCTAAAGCTTTAAGGGTCTGGAGTGTCCCTTTAAGGGTAGAGATGGTTTTATATGTGTGAGAGCAATGTCCCATTCAAGTACAGAACAGACCCATCAAAATATCCAACTCCAAGACTGTAAGTCCAATACTTCAAACTGAACAGGTATCAATACCACTGTATCAATACTTGTGTGGGTTGTAGACTCTGTCTCATGCTACCACTAGAGTGAAAGCACCGCCAGCATTCAAAAGTGACCATTCTGTCATACGGACTGTTTAGTTAGTAGGTTAATAACGACAATTTAAGCAACTATTTCAGTAGAAGAACATGCAGTTTCAATACTCTAAATCAAAGGTTTTCTTGAAATCCCAAAAGTCAATCATTTAACCATTCAGCCATCTCAAGGAAAGCCATCCATCATGATGGTTTTGTGAGATTACAGGCTAATAGAATGAAAGTGTCTATAGGAGAAGCAGAAAGGAGGATCAGAAGCTGTTCTAGATAAGAAGATTAATGGCAATGTCCCAGAGTGTGCGTCATTTGGTTTGCTTGTGTAGGCGTGTGTGGGAGTTCACTGAACTCGGTTCAGGCGAGTAAGTGTGGGCCCGTTAATTTAGCATGCCACAGACATAGTTTTGAAATAACAGAGACAAGGGTGGTCTGATACTTGATCTTAGCTTTTGGTTGACTGCAACTCCCATAAACCTTTGTCTTTTATTGGGGCTGCAGTCCGAACCTGTTCTGTGGAATGAATACCTGTAAGCCAGGGACCAGTGAATACAGGGACATTAAAGGTTATTCACTAAACTGTTGTGGCAATTCTAAATCAACATAATCAAGCTGAAAATATAGCTGATTTAACTGGGATTTTATTTTTATTTATTTTTTTGCAATTTTGGCTATTGAGCCAAACTTAAAATACGCTTTCAATTTCTTGTTTGTGAATAATCCTGAGAATATTTTGTTGTCTGTTCAGAAACAATATATGCCAGATATTAACAATAAACAATATGTGCCAATGCCATTTCCAAAGCTGTGTAAAAAGAAATGAATACATGACAGATATTTTTTTGGCATACTGTATATTAATTATGAGTAAAGGAGAAGAATGGTAGGAGAAGCTGTGGCCATGGGCAACTGGTGGGGCCCAGGTAAATTGTTAAAAATACTAAACTGGCGTGGCTACTTGCAATGGGACAGTGCCAGATATCTCCTGGCATCATAACCACTAAAAATGGGCTGTTGTGGTTGTGGTGCTTTGAGTGATCCAGTAATTTAAAATTGGCATTACATGTAGTTTAACTGTAACATACAGGACCTGTTACCTTATTGTTCATTGTTTTTGTGTCTTGTGTGTACAGCACTGCAAACTTTGTTGGCACTTTATTAATAATAATAATTATTATTATTATATTGCCAAAGACAATAACATTGAATACAAAGTGTCTCTTAAATTACTAAGCTGAATACCATTCACCATGTTATCATAAAGATGTATGACACATTTTCTTTTGCTCTCTATTTTCTTCAAACTTTGAAGAAAATGTTCCTTATTATGTACTTGGGATTTAGAATAGTATAATTAATTAGTATACAGTATCTGTTTCGTTCATACACTACTTGCGTGATACCTTTCTTTCTTTTCTTTCTTTTTTAAAAAATTGTCAATCTTTCTTTTATTGAGGCAAAATCTAACGTTACAGAAAAAAGAAAATGGCTTATAGCCGATAAGAACATTTCAGGTATACAGTTGTAGTATACATTATAACCTTGAGCATATTGTAGCGGATGGCATTGGGCTGTCCTCAAAATTATGTATATTCCTATGTGTTCGGTTAAATTGTGCCATGTGTATGTGAAGTGTATGCAGCATTTGTCTGATTGTTCGGTAAAATCACTCCAGTTATTATGCAAGTGAAACTACTGAACAATCAGACCACCCCAGGAGTAAGTGTGCCTTCAATTACCGTTCGCAACAATGTTGCAAACGGGTAATTGGCAATTCTTGTAGTGTGGTCTTTGTCCTCTGGGTGGCCGCCATTCGGGAGACAAACACGTGGTGACGGCCATTTTAAACTCCCTAACAGCTCTGTTTTGCCGTCGAGTGTCTGGATCCCAAATCGGACACTCGGTTAGGCAAACACCGCTGAGACCTCCACACTGCAACTTTTGTCCTACTATCGAAAGTACACTGCTCAAAAAAATAAAGGGAACACTTAAAGGACCACTCTAGGCACCCAGACCACTTCAGCTTAATGAAGTGGTCAGGGTGCCAGGTCCGGCTAGGGTTAACCCATTTTTTCATAAACATAGCAGTTTCATAGAAACTGCTATGTTTATGAATGGGTTAAGCCTTCCCCTATTTCCTCTAGCGGCTGTCTCATTTACAGCCGCTATAGGCGCTTGCGTGCTTCTCACTGTGATTTTCACAGTGAGAGCACACCAGCGTCCATAGGAAAGCATTGGTAATGCTTTCCTATGTGACCGGCTGAATGCGCGCGCAGCTCTTGCCCCGCGTGCGCATTCAGCCGACGGGGAGGAGAAGAGGAGGATCGGAGGATGAGAGCTCTCCGCCCAGCGCTGGAAAAAGGTAAGTTTTAACCCCTTTCCAGAGCCGGGCGGGAGGGGGATCCTGAGGGTGGGGGCACCCTCAGGGCACTATAGTGCCAGGAAAACGAGTATGTTTTCCTGGCACTATAGTGGTCCTTTAAACAACACAATGTAACTCCAAGTCAATCACACTTCTGTGAAATCAAACTGTCCATTTAGGAAGCAACACTGATTGACAATCAATTTCACATGCTATTGTGCAAATGGGATAGACAACAGGTGGAAATTATAGGCAATTAGCAAGACACCCCCAATAAAGGAGAGGTTCTGCAGGTGGTGACCACAGACCACTTCTCAGTTCCTATGCTTCCTGGCTGATGTTTTGGTCACTTTTGAATGCTGGCGGTGCTTTCACTCTAGTGGTAGCATGAGACAGAGTCTACAACCCACACAAGTGGCTCAGGTAGTGCAGCTCATCCAGGATGGCACATCAATGCGAGCTTTGGCAAGAAGGTTTTCTGTGTCTGTCAGCGTAGTGTCCAGAGCATGGAGGCGCTACCAGGAGACAGGCCAGTACATCAGGAGATGTCAGAAAAGAAAAAAGGATGATAAGCGCTCACTATAGTGAATGGTGAACAGGCAGCAGTATACAAAACAAGGATTCCCAAACCTTGTGAATAGTTAACAAGAAAGAAAGGGGGTGTATGCCGCGCCTAATAGTTTATATATTTAAAGTATACATACATTTATTCTCAAGTGTATCCAGAAAATCAGAACCTCGGAATAAAACAAAAAATAAAAATAATAGTGCAATACAGTATGGTAATATCTTGAAGCGGTGAATATAGCTATACACAGTCCACTCACATTTATATGAGCTATAACAGAGCTCAGCTGTGATGCGCTTGGACGGTACAATCCCCGTCTCAGGATATGTTGTTGTGGTTGACACAGATGTTTCCAAGGTGCAGTATGCGTGGTATATGTAAAAAGGAAATAGCAGCCAATGGTGAGGTAAGTACTAATAGTAAAATAAATAATGAATAGTATTGTACTTACATTTGCTAGAGCATACCACTTGCTCTAGTATAACCAGCTTGGGTGGTATAATACCCACCAAGGATATGCAGGATCCAGGAGGTAGAAAAATGAATGAATATAAAAAGTAACTAATAAAAGTATACTTTAATATAAACAAACTTATAAAAAAACATAAAAGGTATAAAAGAAAAGTCCCACTTAATGCGTTTCGCCTGATAAGGCTCCTTCAGAAGTGTGAGAGAGGCCGTAGGAGGGCAACAACCCAGCAGCAGGACCGCTACCTCCACCTTTGTGCAAGGAGGAACAGGAGGAGCACTGCCAGAGCCCTGCAAAATGACCTTCAGCAGGCCACAAATGTGCATGTGTTTGCTCAAACGGTCAGAAACAGACTCCATGAGGATGTTATGAGAGCCCAACGTCCACAGGTGGGGGTTGTGCTTACAGCCCAACACCGTGCAGGATGTTTGGCATTTGCCAAAGAACACCAAGATTGGCAAGTTCGCCACTGGTGCCCTGTGCTCTTCACAGATGAAAGCAGGTTTACACTGAGCACATGTGACAGATGTGACAGAGTCTGGAGATGCCATGGAGAACATTCTTCTGCCTGCAACATCCTCCAGCATGACCGTTTTGGCAGTGGGTCAGTAATGGTGTGGGGAGGCATTTCTTTGGGGGTCCGCACAGCCCTCCATGTGGTCGCCAGAGGCAGCCTGACTGCCATTAGGTACCGAGATGAGATCCTCAGACCCCTTGTAATACCATATGCTGGTGCAGTTGGCCCTGGGTTCCTCCTAATGCAAGACAATGCAAGACCTCATGTGGCTGCTGTGTGTCAGCAGTTCCTGCAAGACGAAGGCATTGATGCTATGGACTGGCCCGCCTGTTCCCCAGACCTGAATCCAATTGAGCACATGATGTCTCGCTCCATCCACCAACATTACGTTGCACCACAGACTGTCCAGGTGTTGGCAGATGCTTTAGTCCAGGTCTGGGAGGAGTTCCCTCAGGAGACCACCCGCCACCTCATCAGGAGAATATACAGGCGTTGTAGGAAGGTCATACAGGCACGTGGAGGCCACACACACAACTGAGCCTCATTTGACTTGTTTTAAAGACATTACATGAAAGTTGGATCAGCCTGTGGTGTATTTTTCCACCTTAATTTTGAGTGTGACTCCAAATCCAGACCTCCATGGGTTGAAAAATTTGATTTCCATTTTTTTTTTTTTTTGTGAATTTGTTGTCAGCACATTCAACTATGTAAAGAACAAAGTATTTCAGAATAATATTTAATTCATTCAGATCTAGGATGTGTTATTTTTGTGTTCCCTATTTTTTTGAGCAGTATACTTAATTGTCATACACAACCTTCCCCAGGGATGGCCTTTTTGCATCGTTTTCCAGACATCTGGTCTAGGGCGCACATATTGCTTGCTAGTCACTTCATTCTGGCAGCTTAATTTTTTTAAGGGAAGAATTTTTTGTGATACCAAGTAATCTGGGGTCAACAATGCAGGGGAATCTGCCTGGTTAGAATGTGGACAACTCGGGAAGGAGTTGGGGGTTAGGGCTGTACACAGGAACAATATTATTTTACAGTGCTCTATGGAGTTACCAAGGAGCTTGAGTTAGTCTCTTTTAAGAATTTCTTCTTTTCCCCTTTACTTTCTTTCTCTTCATGTCGGTTTCTGCTTCTCTCTTCCTTCATCACAATGTGTACACATCATGTGCTGAGGGTGCTATAAATACAATTTCAAGAAATGTATTGTTCACCAAGAGAAGTTTCTCTGAACTTGCTTTCACCAAAATGACCATTGGAATGTTATAATGTTATATTATATAATTTGACATACTATATGATATGAGTGTTCTCTAGCTGCCAATACCGGTCGTTGATTTTTACTTTTTCCTTTGTTTTATTTCCATCCCTCTAGAGTCTAGTACCTACTTATTGTACTTTTGTATTATGATGCAGACACACGTTCAGCTGATCCTTCTCCCATATGTGTCCATGTATAGTGTTATTTCTTGAAAATTTCAATAAAAAGTTTTATTGGATAAAAAAGAAAAGCCTAAACATTATTTTTTTTAAAGATGCCTATGTTATTGGGCAGACAATGATGCACTGGCAATGTAAAGCACACTTAATATAGTGTAAAATTCTTTTTAATTACAGACATTTTTTTATTTCCCAAAAATTAAAATGACCAAAGAGGGACACTTCAATTTTAGGGATGGGGCTGTGGCCAGGGGCAGGGCAGTTATTTTAAATTTAAAATAATGACTTACTAATATCAATATATACAACTAAACTATTATTCAGAACAAGAACAATGTCAGGGTTATTTACTAAAGCAAGGATTGTTGGGAATTCAAAATACATTTCAAATTTAACATGGACCAAAGGTTAGATTTTACTATATTCAAGGGAGTAAGGAGGGGTAGATGATGATTTTAACACTATAGGATTGTGTTACTGACCCTAGTGTTCTTTTAAGATTCTGGTACTTGCTTACACATCTCTACATAATCTTGCTCCAACCCACCTATCCTTCGTAATACACAAGTATGTCCCGTCTAGTCCCCTTCGCTATGCCGAAGACCTATGTCTATCCTCTGTCTGTACTCCCACCTCTGATGCTCGCCTTCAAAACTTCTCAAGGGCTGCACCGTTACTGTGGAACTCCTTTCCCCTCTCTGTTAGACTTTCACCCAGTCTACATTGCTTCAAAAAGTCATTGAAAACTAATTTATTCAGGAAAACGTATCAATTAAACTACTAACAGTTAACAGCTTTCCCAAACCCCTATTAATCTCCTGCAACTGTGAAAGGTCTAATTTTCAGGTTTAGGCTTCGAGTGCTGGAGTTTGAAGGGTTATTTGCAAAGTACTCACCCCTTGTCTTCTGTAACACAGTCTGATTAATGATATTAGAACGGTAGGAACTGTTATACAGGGTTCATCACTCAGAGTTTATCTGCTCCTCCTGCAATGCATTTCCTGTGTGAGAGGCTGTTAGTGGGCAGATGAAAGTTGATAATTTCCTCTTCCTGTCCAGCCGCACACACAGACACTGGAGGAAAGCAGGTCCCTCTATAACTGTTCCTGTAGCTCTGCTATTATGGTTGACTGGAATACAAAGGACACTGGCCAAGGCTCCTGGTACTTATCTTTCCCCACCAGCCAATCTAACCTCAACAAAGCACAATATAAGGGCAGTTACCTACTCTACCTAATGGGAAATCCAGCCCTGGAGAAGATGCATGATACCAATGAGCAGTTCCCCCACACTTTCATTATGTAGGTCCCACTTATTACTTTTCTAAAACCTTACTGTTTAGAAAGCAGTAATCTTCAAATGTAAAAATTCAGTGGCAAAGAAATGGCATAATTTAGTGAAATCTAATGCAGACACCACTTGATCTTAGCTGATCTAACAATAATCTACCAGCCTAATCGTTTCATGTTGGGGGAGAGCCACATGTATGAAATACATAATATCTTTATAGTAGTTATATGAAATACCTATCTAACAAAATGATATATACGGTAGAAAACAGCTGATCTTACCTGACCTAACAAAGATCTATCTACCTGAATGATAATTCACCTAACACTAGCAGGGGGTCTAGTCCCCATTAAATACCTAATATCTCTGTAATTGTGAGATATCTAATAATAACATAAAACAACTAGCTGATCATACCTGTTCTAACAAATATCTACCTAAATAGCTAGCTTTTATGTTAATGTAGGCTGATAATGGATTAGCCCCAGCAAATAATTGTTAATATTGCTTCTTCTATGTTAGATCTAATGCAAACAACAATTGACCTAAGCTGATCTAACAATCTGCATACATTTTTTTTTTTTAAATGTTGATTTTGGGAGGCTAACGTATCTTTGGTTTAATGTGAGTATTATTGCTGTGGAGCTCTATTATAACCTCAGACAGACGAACAATATGGAGCTCCTAGAAAAGATAGGTATTAGGATAGAAAAGTGGGACAGGAGGATTTAGGCTCGAAATAGGGACTGTCCCTCCGTAATATGGACTGTTGGGTTGTATGTACTTACTATTTTTCAAGTACTGCAGATAAGGTTGATTAAAGTGAGGCATGTGCTACTTGATTTCTGTTCCCGAGGTGAGATACAGTACTGGACATAATAAAAAAAAACATAGCTGGGTCCTCTGTTCCTTTAGTATCAGCATGTGTTCATTATTTATCTGTATTCCCTCTATTGTACAGCACTGCAAAATATGTTGGTGCTATTAAAATATACCAAAAAAAATGATGCTAATATTAGAACACTATAGGTCCTGAGACTACTTCATCTCATTCAAATGGTCTGGGTGCACTGTCCTCTTAACTACGTAATCTAAAACATTACAGTTTCAGAGGAAGGATTAAGACTGCTTCAAGTGGCTGTCTACTAGTGACCATTAATTCAATGAAATGATGCTGGATGTCCTCACAGTTTGCATGAGAATATCCGGCGTCTTGCAAAACACCCAAAGGAATACATTTATTCAATGCCCGATTTGGATTTTGGCGCTGGAATAGTTTTTAACCCTTTAATTGCCTTTTTAACCCCTTTGCAACCTGTGATGGTTCAGGACCATCATCAGAAAAATCCCCTTGAGGACCGGTGACAGTCTTGAACCATCACAATGGTAAGAAACATAGAAACATAGAATGTGGCAGCAGATAAGAACCATTCGGCCCATCTAGTCTGCCCAATTTTCTAAATACTTTCATTAGTCCCTAGCCTTATCTTATAGTTAGGATAGCCTCATGCCTATCCCACGCATGCTTAAACTCCTTTATTGTGTTAACCTCTACCACTTCAGCTGGAAGGCTATTCCATGCATCCACTACCCTCTCAGTAAAGTAATACTTCCTGATATTATTTTTAAACCTTTGTCCCTCTAATTTAAGACTATGTTCTCTTGTTGTGGTAGTTTTTCTTCTTTTAAATATAGTCTCCTCCTTTACTGTGTTGATTCCCTTTATATATTTAAATGTTTCTATCATATCCCCCCTGTCCCGTCTTTCCTCCAAGCTATACATGTTAAGATCCTTTAACCTTTCCTGGTAAGTTTTATCCCGCAATCCATGGACCAGTTTAGTAGCCCTTCCCTGAACCCTCTCTAAAGTATCAATATCCTTCTGAAGATACGGTCTCCAGTACTCTGTACAATACTCCAAGTGAGGTCTCATGAGCACTTCCCTCTTTCTACTGCTAATACCTCTCCCTATACAGCCAAGCATTCTGCTAGCATTTCCTGCTGCTCTATTACATTGTCTGCCTACCTTTAAGTCATCACAAATAATCACCCCTAAATCCCTTTCTCATATGTTGAGGTTAGGACTCTATTAAATATTCTGTACTCTGCCCTTGGGTTTTTACGTCCAAGATGCATTATCTTGCACTTATCCATGTTAAATGTCAGTTGCCACAATTCTGACCATTTTTCTAGTTTACCTAAATCATTTGCCATTTGGCTTATTCCTCCTGGAACATCAACCCTGTTACATATCTTAGTAAGATGTACTTACCCGATTGCAGTCGTTCCCCCGGCGGCAATTGGCATTGCTCCCAGTGTGTGGAGACTGCCTGCAGCCCAGACAGTCTCCCCGCGGCAGATTAGGACCCAGGGGGCCATGTGATCGCTCAATAGAGCGGTCACAATAGGTGTCCTAGTGTCTGCCTGGCAGTCTCCCTGCAAGTATAAAAATAAATAAATAATTTTAAAAATTTAATTATATGTCCTGTTTACAGGATTATGCAGTGTTGCAGCAGTTGAAACAGGTAAGTAGATTCAATATGGAAGGTCAAGCAGGTAAGTAACTTCAGATTAAAATAATGCAGATAAATACAGGATGTTTTCAGGAGCCAGGATCACAAGTTCTATGTCAGAACACTGACTTCATCGTAAAGGCCATGAGAAGAGTTGGGTGTGGCCTTTTATAGGAAGATCATATGAGGCAGGTGAGAGCAACCGAGGATTGACTAGTGGCTAGGGAGGCCACTAGAGGTGAGAAACACATATTGCAGAAATAAAAATAAATATTTCTTGGTTGTCAGGATAGGATCCTGACACAATCCCCTCCTTGTGGACTCTTGACGCGATGGTTTCATGCAAAGTAGAAATGAAGGTAGTATAGTTGTACATAGACCCAGGGCCGGTGCTAGGATTTTTGACTACACAGGCGAAGATGCATTTTGACGCCCCCCCAAAAAAAATAAACAATGCATCTTCACCTCTGTGTCTCGTAGCCCCCTTTTGAATTTCTTACCCCCATTAGTGTTGCATATCCCTTTAGTGTGTCTCCTACAACCCCTCTTATGTATTTCTTACTTCCCCGCCAGCCCCTATCTATCTCTCTTTTTCTCCCACATAGACATAGATACAGGCAAAAATACATACATGCACAAATACACAAACATACAGACACACAACCATACAAGCACACAGACATAATTTTTCAGGCACACAGTCACAAAGATATACAGACACACAGTCATAAAAGGCACACAAACAAACACAGTCATACAATCTACACATATAGGTACATTATCGTACAAACACAGACATACATTCATAAAGACACAGGCACTCACAGAAATACATACACAGACATAAAGAAACAGAGATAGGCATACAGAGACATACATACACAGACAAACAAACAAAGAACCCTGCACACTGATACCGTGTAAATGCTCCGGCCATCAACAGAGGTGGATGCTCCATGTCAGGCAGACATTGCTGGATCCACCAGTAAAGTCTTCAAAAGGAATAAACGCAGGCAACACTCCAATAGTAAGGATGGTATATTTATTGGTAGGTGAACCACCCCATAGAAAGTGTGATGTTTCAGCTCATGCAATAAGGCTCTGCTGAGCCGAAACGACGCACTTTCTTTGGGGTGGTTCACCTATCAATAAATATACCATCCTTACTATTGGAGTGTTGCCTGCGTTTATTCCTTTTGAATACATTTACACAGTCATACAGAGACATACATACTGTATGTCTCTGTATGACGGTCTGTGTATGTACACAGGATGGCTAAAAGATAGATCCCCATCTGTTGTGCAACTTCAACAATGCTTTGAAAGCTGGGGCTCTACCGATTCCCCATGCTTGCAGGATTGTATTTAGCATGGAGCAGTATTTGTGTGTTTGACTGTAAGCATGTGTTTGTATGGAGTATGTTTGTATGATTGTAGCGGTGTGTTTGTATGTAGTGTTTGCATTTGAATGCAAGCATGCATTTATGTGTAGTGTTGGTTTTTGAACGCAGGTGTGTGTTTATATATAATTTTGGTGTCTGATACAGAGGTGTGTTTGTATGTAGTGTTGACGTTTGCATGCAGGTGTTTATTTGTGTGTAGTGTTGTGTTTGAATGCTGAGATATATGCACATATACACATACACTGCCACACATGCACACATGCACACACTGTGATACACATACACAAAGATACACACACTGACACATGCAGATATACATATACACAAACTGATACCCATTCAGATAGACACACAGGTACACACAAACACTGACAGACATACAGATAAACACACAGTGACATACAGACACACATACACAATGATAGGGAAGAAGACACACAAAGACACACTAACAGACAGACACACACACACAGACATTTAGATACACACAGACACATGGACAGAGACATATACATACACACACACACTGACAGACATGGATACACACACACACACTGACAGACATAGATACACACACACTGACAGACATACACACACACACACTGACAGAGATAGATACACACACACTGACAGACATACACACACACACTGACAGAGATAGATACACACACACTGACAGACATACACACACACTGACAGACATACACACACACTGACAGACATACACACACACACACTGACAGAGATAGATACACACACACACTGACAGACATACACACACACACTGACAGACATAGATACACACACACTGACAGACATAGATACACACAGACACACTGACAGACATACACACACACACACTGACAGACATAGATACACACACACTGACAGAGATAGATACACACACACACACTGACAGACATACACACACACACTGGCAGACACAGATACACACACACACTGACAGACATAGATACACACAGACACACTGACAGACATACACACACACACACTGACAGACATACACACACACTGACAGACATAGATACACACACACACACTGACAGACATACACACACACTGACAGACATACACACACACACACACTGACAGACATACACACAGACACGCTGACAGACATACACATACACATGCTGACAGACACAGATACACACACTGACAGACACAGATACACACACTGACAGACACAGATACACACAGACACACTGACAGACATACACACACACACACTGACAGACATACACACACACACACTGACAGACATAGATACACACACACACACACTGACAGACATAGATACACACACACACACTGACAGACATGGATACACACACACACACACACTGACAGACATGGATACACAAACACACACACACACACACACTGACAGACATGGATACACACAGACACACTGACCAACAGGTTCAGAAGGGGGGCTTACCTGGGATCCAAAGTGCTGCCTGAGGTAGTTGGGAGTTGGAGGAGCTGGTCCTGCCCAGCCCCCTCCTCTCTGCCTTTTGCTGCTGTAGTCTTCTTGGGAGGACTTCCTCCCATGCTGATTAGATGGGGGCCCGTAGCTCCGCCCCTGCTGGGCACCAGTCGCGCTGTGTGCTACAGAGGGAGCAGGGATATGACGTTCATATCCCCGCCCCCTCCACACAGTACGCGGCACTGCAGGTTGGCGCTCGGCCACGCTACAAGAAGTGACCGGCAGGAGAGGGGAGCTGTGCGCTTCTCTCCTGCCGGCCACCCGGACATTTGCGCCCCCGGGCCGGTGCGCCCTAAGGCGGCCGCCTGTGCCGCCTTATGGACGCGCCGGCCCTGCATAGACCATAGTGAACAGAAAACAGAGTCATTATTTCTTTCTCCTATGTTCTTTCTTCTCTTTGTCTTTAAGCATCTGCTCAAATATGTTGAGATCTTTTAGATGCACAATTATACCATTTGAGGCTTTGACGCAGTCAGGAGGAATTTCTTCAGTGATTGCATTTTCTTTCTCTTTAATTCGTAGTGTAGAGATGGATTCATTAACTTTCTTCATCAGCCCAGATTTGAGAATCTGGGATATTGTAGGTTTCTCCAAGGTAGGTATTAGTGTACCTAAGGTTACAGGTTGTAAAGAAGAACAGGTTCAGACTTGAGTAATGTCATACTAAGTGTATTTTTATATTAATATATACATACACTCTGTTCCAAAATATTATGCAAATTCTATTTAAGTGTCACAAAGATAAAATATTTAGTTTTTCAGTTTAACTCATGGATGGCATTGTCTCTCAGGGCTCTTTTGATCACTGAAAACAATCTCGAACACCAGTGACAATTAGATTGCCAGGTGAGCCCAATTTAAGGAAAAACTACTAAAGGAGGGTGTTCCACATTATTAAGCAGAGCACCATTTTCATGCAATTTGGGGAAGAAAAAGGATCTCTCTGCTGCCGAAAAGAGTGAAATAGTTCAATGCCTTGGACGAGGTATGAAAACATTAGATATTTCACGAAAACTTAAGCATGATCATCGCACTATTAAGAGATTTGTGGCTGATTCAGGGCACAGATGGGTTCATACAGATAAAGGCACATTGAGGAAGATTTCTGCCAGGTCCATGCATCGGATCAAGAGAGCAGCTGTTAAAATACTTTTACATAGCAGCAAACAGATATTTGAAGCTGCTGGTGCCTCTGGAGTCCCACGGACATCAAGGAGTAGTCCAGAGTCTTGCAACTGTGCATAAACCTTCTATTTGGCCACCACTAACCATTGCTCACAAGCAGAAACAGCTGAATTGGGCAGAAAAATACATAAAGACTAATTTTCAAACAGTCCTGTTCACTGATGAGTGCTGTGCAACCTTGGATGGTCCAGATGGAAGGAGTAGTGGATGGTTGGTGGACGGCCACCCTATTCTAACAAGGCTGCGACGTCAGCAAGGCGGTGGTGTAGTCATGTTTTGGGCCGGAATCATGGGAAGAGTGCTGGTTGGTCCCTTTAGGGCCCCCGAAGGTGTAAAGATGACCTCTGCAAAGTATGTGGAGTTTCTGACTGACCACTTTCTTCCCTGGTACAGAAAGAAGAGCTATGCTTTTTGTAATAAAATCATCTTCATGCATGACAATGCACCATCTCATGCGGCAAAGAATACCTCTGCATCAATGGCTGCTATGGGGATAAAAGGAGAGAAAGTCATGGTGTGGCCCCCATCCTCCCCTGACCTCAATCCTATTGAGAACCTTTGGAGCATCCTCAAGCAAAAGATCTATGAGGGTGGGAGGAAGTTTACATCCAAACTGCAGCTCTGGGAGGCTATTCTGACATCTTGCAAAAGATTCAAGCAGAAACTGTCCAAAAACTCACAAGTTCAATGGATGCAAGACTTGTGAAGCTGCTATCAAATAAGGGGTCCTCTGTTAAAATGTAACTTGACCTGTTAAAATGTTTAAAAAGTTAAAATGTTGTTATAAGTTTGATTGAAATAGCTTTTGATTTCAGTAAATATGCTGCAAACACAACAAATGACAATTTTCAGTTATTTACAACCTATAAAGTGTTTTGAAACTTACTGTGCGTAATAATTTGGATAATACTGTTATCATTAGGAGGTTTGTTCAATAAAATTTGAATTGTACTCTTAATAGTTGATAATATGAGAATGATGCTGACTGTTATTTACATCAATTATTTAGGTAAATTAGAAAAATTTCATTTGCATAATAATTTGGAACAGGGTGTATATTAATATAAAAATACACTTATAATTAATTTACATACATATATAATAACTATATATATTGTATATATATATATATATATTATTATTATAAAATTAAAATAAGTAAATTAAAATAAATTAAAAAAACATAAAAATAATAATAAAAATTAAAAAAATTATATATTAATATTAATATCAAAATACACTTAGAATGAAATTGTATATATATCTATGTATATATAAATTAAAAATAATACAAAATATACATATGTCCATATAGAAAATAAATATAAACGTAGACTTCAAATATATAAATATGCATATATATTAAAATTCTACGTGCGTATTTATGTAATATTTTTACATAATTAAGTAATTTTATTGATTGCAATTTGAGGGACCTGCCTGACAACCCAGGTCGAAAGTCCAGAGAATTTACTTTGCTAGCACTGTATTTAACCCTGTAACTTTCTATGACACCCTAAAACCTGTACATGGGTGGTACTGTTTAATTTGGGAGACTTCACAAATATTAGTGATTCAAAACAGGAAAACATTTGCATTTTTCACACACAAACCGCACTTTTACTGATGATATAATTGTTGTGATACATATTACACTAATATTTGTGTTCGGCAAAGTCTCCCGAGTATAACAGTACCCCCCATGTACAGGTTTTATAGCGTTTTTGAAAGTTACAGGGTCAAGTATAAGGCCAAATATTTTTACATTGAAAATTGCCAGGTTGGTTACGTTGCCTTTGAGAGCGTATGGTAGTCCAGGAATGAGAATTACCCACATGATGGCATGCCATTTGCAAAAGAAGACAACCCAAGGTATTGCAAATGAGATATATTCAGTCTTTTTCAGTAGCCACTATGTTCAATTTAGTTTTTTACTTTTTTCACACACAAACAAATATGAACGCTAACTTTGGCCAGTGTTTGTGACTAAGTGGCTACTAAAAAAGACTGGACATACCCCATATTGAATACCCTGGGTTGTCTACTTTAAAAAAATATGTTCATGTGGGGTGTGATTCAGAGATTTATGACAGGTAACATTGTTACAATGTCACTATTGGTACATTTAAAAAAAATATATTTTGAAACAGCAATTCCTACTTGTACTTATAGCACTATAACTTGCACAAAAAAAAAACACGTAAGCACTGGGTGTTTTTAAACTCAGGACAAAATTTTGAATCTCTATAGCAGTTTTTTTCATAGGTAAGTAAAAGATTTTTCAAGCAAAAGTAAAAAAACAGTTAGTTTTTTTCAATTTTTCACCATATTTTATTGTTTTTAAAGTAAATTATATGACATGGTACAAATAAAGGTATGTAAAGAAAGCCCTTTTTGTCCTGAAAAAAACAATAAATAACTTGTATGGGAACAGTAAATGAGAAAGAGGAAAATTACAGCTAAACACAAACACCACAAACGTGTTAAAAGAGCCCTGGTCTTTAACGTACAACATCGCAAAAACAGGCAGGTCATGAAGGGGTTAAGGGCTGCACTGGTGGGAAAGCAGGGGGAAACTACAGTGTTAGGAATACAATGTTGTACTAATCATTATTACGTAGTCCCATTCAAAGCCATACCCCAGCAATTCAATTTGCATGTCCTCTGTATAAAATTACCCCATATTAGGGATCTGAAAATTGTAAATATCAGTCTAAGGACCTCCATACTACATTTAGCTTGCCCCACCTACTGGCAAGTATCTAGATTACACTCACATGAATTTAAACTTATTCAATTATACTTTTTAGAATTTAACATTCTATTTTATATAATGTTATTAGACTAAACTGTTACATGATAAACTAAATATCAATCTATAAAGTATAATTTGATTATTAATTATCTGTATTATAAATTTGCTAGAATATTATGTGATACAGTAGGATGTAGTTTTAAGATGTCGATTTACATCCAGGAGATATTACTTATATTAGCATCAATATAGTTATCAATGAGCACATTAAAAAGAATCAGATGCACTCTGATTAGATTTATATTGATGACTTGGCGAAAGGCAGGTAGAGGTCAGATTGATTAGGAGATGGAACAATGGCAAAATTTAATAATATCTGATTAATTGACGTAACAAATGATTAGAAAGATGAGCATCAAGATCATCGTGAGCACAAATAAAATGGACTGTGAGGTTACATAACAGTAGTAAACAGTGAAGTCAAATGAGTTTTACAGAGGAACTGGTGAACAAAATAATATGACAGCAAAAAATAATTAGGTAAAATAAGATGAACTGGGAGCCTGGTCCCTACCACATATTTGGTTCTGTAGGTGTTGTGCAGTTAAGATAACTCTTAAAGGATCACTATAGGGTCAGGAACACAAACACATATTCCTGACCCTATAGTGTTAACACCACCATGTAGCCCCCGGGGCCCCTCATGCCTCCATAAATATAGCAAAATCTTACTGTATTCAAGCCAGAAGCTGTAGATCTGCATGCTGTTTGTCTAAAAAACAAAAAACAAACAGCATGTGCCTCAGTGACATCTAACCCGGCCTTCCTGGAGGGAATGGTCCCTGGTCATTTTAAGTCCCTAATAGGTAGGGCCCCAATCTTCGCTTAAGATGTCTGTGGAGCCAAAAAAACACAAATGGTAGTTCCTGACAGGCAGCCTACATTGCTCGATAAATGCAGGTATCTCCAACTGTCAGTTCTCCATTTTTTTCAGTACTCTTAAACCGTAGAAGGGCTTTACAAGACCCATCACTCAGTTTGAAGACTGTGCGCGCCGGGAGACTTTGTATAGAGACATTTCAGTTATCTACCAATTACTACTTCTGGGCACCGGTGCCCCTCCTTAACTTTTATCTCTCGATGGAAAGAGGAATAAGGGATCACCCTATCAGAAACTGAGTGGGCTAAAATCATGACATAGACCCATCAGTGCTTCCCTAGTTCAAGACTGCAGGAAACTAATTATAAAATCCTTACAAGATGGTACCTGACTCCTGACCGTATATATACAATTGCTCCAGATAGAACTGACTGATGTTGGCGCTGTGGAAGGGACAAAGTCTTTGCAACCCTTTTGGAAGTGTATTCATACCACAATGACAGAGATCACAGGTGAGACAGTAGAGTTCGCACCTTTGACAATGCTCCTAACTTACACTACGATTGCCCAGTTTAAAGGCCCCTTAGCTAGACACCTACTCACAGCAGCTGTAGGTCACTAATCCAAACATTATAGAGGCAATGTGCTGCATCGATATTTCAGATCAGGGCTAGGTAGTGTATTTTTTAAATATTACCTGTGCCACGCACTACAATGGAAAGACAGCGGTAGATTAAAGAGGTCAATGCGTGGCTGAAGTATTTGCTTAGGAAGGAGGATTTTTGCTTTTTAGAGCATTAGGCCGATTTTGAGCTTGCGTACAATCTTTATAGCTGTGATGGATTGCACCTGAACTGAAGAGGCTCTGCAGGGCTCAGGGACAGGATGGCTAGAAGGTTGTAGAAGATTTAAAACTAGTGGTAAGGGGGTAGGACATAGAAATCTACAAAATGGAGATAGGACAGAAAGGATATGGGCTTTAGATCAGCACAAGGGGGTGGAGATGGGGTAGGGGCAAGATCAGATCAGAGGAGGTATGTAATAGTAATACAAATTCACATAAAGTACAAGTGACTAATGATATTAAATGTATGCTTACCAATGCAAGAAGCCTAAATAACAAAACAAGGGAACTACAGGCAATAGCATACACTAAGCAATATGACATACTAGACATAACAGAAACATGTTGGGGTGAGACACATGACTGGGCAGTTAACTTAAATGGTTATACAACATTCAGGAAACATATAAAAATCAGGAAAGGTGATGAGATATGTTTGTATGTCAATCATGAGTTAAAGCCAAATCTTAAGCAAGTGGAAGGTGACGAGGAACACGTGGAAGCGTTATGGGTAGATATCTGCTTGGGGCAAAAGAAGAGAAATCATGTATTTGTTTGGATATATTATAAACCACCTAATGTTAATATTGATGTGGAAGAACTGCTTTTAGAGCAAACTGAGAAAGTTGCCCATCTGGGTAACACATTAATTATTGGAGATTTTAATTACCCAGACATATATTGGGATAGAGGGACTAGGAGGTGAGGAGTTGTGGCACCACGGACCGGACTTTGCAAACCTGTATGAAATCCAGCTACATTCCCAAAATGTAGGGGCGAGACGCGGATCTGTTCCTGGCACAGAGACTGCCTATTTAGTATAGCCTACATGGGGTATTGGTTGACTCCTGGCTTTTGATATACGTGAATACCACCAGTACCAGCCT